CCTTCAACCACTGAAATATGCCCATCCTAAGCTATTGTGTATCGTGGAACAAGTTCCGAGCAATATAGCCGGATAATTCCTTCTGATAATTCCTTCTGGCATTGGGAGAAGCTTCACATTCAAGTGTCATTTCCATCTATAAGCATTCACTGTTCAGAGTCCAAGCGACGAATCAACAGAAAACGTGAAATTGGGCGAAATTCTCTTCCTTGCCTCATACTCCCATGATCGATTGACCGTGATCGTGTCCAAGATCAGGAGCCTTTCAAACGAATATAAAAGTAAGTCCTCCAATTTCAACTGTTAAATTTTATAGTACTCTCAAAAATCGAATCGAATATTTGCATAATTGTTTCTAGATATTTTCGTGCGATTATATTTGGTTCAACCGATGGGGCAGGTTATTAAGAAGAAAACATCCGAGCGGACGTTGGTAGACGGTGCTGCCGACATCGGTGAGAGCATGTTCTTCAGTGTGTCGAGGAGCAGAATACTGGTAAGGGAGCTGTTATCCATCATATTGGGTTGACCCATAATTTCTGGCCGATTTTGGTTCAAATTCAATTTTCTTCATGTCAAATTAGCTTCATATCGAAATAAGTTGATATGTTGAAGAACACATCAGGACCTTCAGCCAGGATGTTTCAGAAGCTCAAATGCGCAACGGGATAATTAAGTAGGAATCAAAATAGATCAACGACCAAACCCAACGCCTTACGACAATTTTAAGAAGAACCTTGCAAGGAGCGCGGTAGGCAAGATCAGCGCTACGTTTGCCCCAGTCTTTGCTACTGATCGGGCACTGAGCTATTGGCTCAATAGCATCGGCAAAGACGATAGGAGCTGCAAAGTTCGACCTCATCATGGACCTCCAGTCACTTTCGATGAGGACCCCTTGCGCAACGAATAGGAAGTGCATCCGACGCTATTAGCAGGAAACTGTAGCAAACATCTGGACGCAGCCTACGCTCCATGAGTCGACACCTGAACGAAAGGGGCTGTAGCAGAATGAAGACTCGATGGAAACAGCATGCATCGACTGACCATGACCGAGAAGCACGCCTGACCATCTGCAGAAGTTTCATTCTTCGACCATATAGACACGACATTCCCTAGTTGGTCACTAGTGCAGATGAGTCATGAGTCCACCACGATAACAACACGCAGCACGCCTTGTGGCTACCTCGCAGCCTGGACTCACCATCTCGACCAAAGCATGAGCTCTCTCATCAGAGGATATTACCCCCGGTTCGTTGGATTCGCTGGGTATCCTGTTTTGGGAACCATTTCACTTTATGCAGACAAGCATTGCGAAGGTAACCATGGAATAGCTCCCGAAGTTGGCCGCAGCAGTGCGGGAGAACGGTTCGAAACGTCTCAAATCTCCTTTCTCCGAAGGACCGCCCGAAATCACATTGCAAAGATAACTCGCCACGTTTCGAAGGAAACTGGCTGGACCACGACATCTGTCGTATAGCCCTGACATTGCTCCATCGTACTATCACCTCCTCAGCTCCCTGAAGCAGCAGCTTGGAGAGAAAAAGTCAGTAAATGCAACCACCCCAAAAACGACCTCTCCGAACTTTTCATTCCACAGCTCCATTCATTCTGGGAGGAATGCCCATTCGTTCCCTAGCAAGTGGATGCTTATCAGTGATTATGATGGTGGTTACTTTTTTTGATCAATCGTTTTTAAGGAAAGATAAAACTTGAAGAAATCAAAGTGTTGAAATTCGGCCAGAAATTATGGGTCAACCCAATATTGACATTTCTCTTCCAAGCCTCAAAATGTTATAAGCTATAGAAAACCAAATTGCTGTCATATGGAAAAATGCATAGTTAGGTACATATTCCGGGGCTATCTCAGTATAAGGGGGCATCTTCCAGGACTAAGTCTAGGAGGAGGCAGGAGCTCAAATAAAATAAAATTGGTTCACTCATCTTGGAGTCTCCTCCCCCACCTAGGGCTTGGTCTCGAAATATTTTACGCGGTTTCAAATGCACTGCCATCACAATGCCCCCGCATATTGCGATAGCGCCCCTATTTCTATTATTTTCTATGTATTCATCATTTTCGTTAATATTCTATAAAAAAAATGCACTGAGCAGGAAAAATGACCAGATTGATTCGTGACTTTCAGAAAAGTCACTTACGCCTAAGCATTGTTTGTGGAAACGATGAATATTGCAAAAGTATTGGTCATGTGACACTTGGTCCGAAGACGAGCGGAAAGGTAAGCCACTTCACAGATAAAACTCAAACTTTATTGAAGTTATCTCGACGGGAACAACGTGTTCCGGAACCAACGGTAAAACATACTTTTTAGGAAACTGCAGTGCAAAATTTTCGTATGCACATACCAGGATCGAATTAGTGTAGTTTTTGCACACGAATCCGAAATTATTGGTGCGAAATGGGCCGACAATAAAGAAGACTGGAAAAAATTCGTCGAAAATGCTTTGGTGAAGGCTTGCTTACATTCGGAATGCAGCAATGTTGAGGCAATGAGAGACTGAGCGCGGAGAGGAGAGTATGAGGCGAGAGAGCACAACAGATGAGAGGGCGCAGACAACAGCCTGCTGCGGATGGGAACATTGCAGCTGCTGCAGCTAACTTTGCAAGGCTCTAGCTTCTTTGTCGGGTGATTTCCATGCAGAAGAGTTCCACAACTGTGATTGTCCTCTAGGAGTCTACCCTATAGATGGAATCATTCCTAAGAATTCTTAAAATTAAGTATTTGAATTTGAAATAGCACCATTCTTTCGAGATCATTATGCACAGTCTGCTATCATAGTATAGTAAGCCATAGATGGGTGAGATCATCCATCTATGGCTTATTACATGACATCAGTATTACATGCCACTGAAGGTGAAAACAGCGGACCCACCTGAAATTTCTCATTGGGCTCCATTTTGAGAGCTGTACGAGGTTACGGCAAAAATCTTTGGCGTTACGGCAAGAAGACGAATGGCTATATGTACATAGAGGCGAACGAACCGCAGACAGAATCCGCGACTTGACTGTGAAGTCGGTGCCATTTGCCAGAGTTGTCACGGGAGCAGCCTATTTCATAGCGGCTTTGCGAGGTACCCTTGAGTTGCTGAGAGAACACAAACTTTGCGCTGGTGGACCAACATTCCTCAAAGGCCCACCCTGCAATTAGGTGAGTGGAATGTTGCAAATGTTCTGGAAAGGGTCGTATACACGAGATGAGGCGCCAGCGCGGCAGACAATGTCCCAGAAATGACATTATTAGGGCCGAACACTGTTCGGTCGCCTTGCTGATTAATCCACTCCTTCTCTCCCACTCGTTTTGCTGTTGAGAGCAACGTACCAGCAACGTAGAGCAGCGATGCCAGCATTTACTGGCAGCCAGCCAATCGTTCGGGAAAACTCGTCTAAACAATCCTTCCACATCCAAAGCTGGAAAGTAGCTGGGTGAGATGGGCTTTTTTCCTAATTTGGTCCACTTCGTAGCTCAACCAACATTACCGAGCGTACCTACCACAACTGCCAGTAGATTGCGGAAAGTGCACTTTATAAGCATGGAATTTCCCCAGTCAGTTCATCGTAAAATAAGCCCTTAATTTTTACTGTATGTTGAAGAAAGTCAAGAAGAGAGTTATTTGAGAATTCTCTACGCCAATGTTTTAGGAACTTGGCCACTGGAAACGTGCTCTTAGCGGCGAAGGTCCACCATTGGCAACTTGGCACGCGGTTCGACCTCGAAGCACAGTTTGAGACTATCAGAGACATAGAATAACCTTGGATAACCAAGGCTCCAATGCAGGCTAATGTATTTATGTACGGATAATTGTTTTCCATATTTTTTCATGTATCTGTCTATCGTGTTCCGATACGATGAGTTTGTTTTCCGCTTGTTATTGTTTCTCATCTTTCCCAACCACTTTTTTCATCCGGTGACCAAATCATATCGCTTTTGTTCGCTGTTGTTCGCCACCTCATTTGATGAGTGAAAGTCATATCAGAAATCGACGTAGAGCAAAAATAAGTCTGTTATACGTTTACCATATGCCACTTATATACTACAGTGTAAACAAGAATTATACTACAGTGTAAACAAGAATACATTCGCATAGAAAAACTTTTTCTTCTTTCCCAAAAATATATATATTATTCCCATTTCGAGTTTTCAGAAATTCTGTAAAAGAACCTAGTTTCTCCGAAAAATGTCTCTTCAGTCTGACTGAAAATAATCTCATAATCCACGGCCAGTTACTTGAATTGCGACCCTTCATCCAGATCACGATATGAAATTTCAAAAATCAACGACCCGCTCCCCTTCCCCATCACCCCCTCACCCTCTGGTACCATCGCCATGTTGTACCCCCTACACTAAAACTAAGTTCCATCAACACAATTTCACTGAAAATCTCCGAGAAAACTTGTCACCATCACTCTCGCCAGCCCCGATTATGACCCCCGTCACACCTCTTACGAAATCCAGGCAACCTCGCTTATTCCTTCGCATTAAAGGACGAATTCACGATCAGAGGGAAAATCGAATTAGGAAGAATTCACCTGGTTGAGGGACCCGCGGAGCTCCTAAGTGTGCGAACTGAAGCACAATTTGCACAGGAGGAGTTGACCTCGTTGACCTATTAAGGTTCAATCCCGGCGCGGCTGGTCAGTGCACGCCCACCGATCATCTGATCACTCGCCGCAGGTCTATACGTGGCGAGTGATTAGATAGGTGAGAGAGCGTAGTGTTGAAGAGGGCACAGCGATGAGAGTCGCATCAATGCTCAAATCAACGGGCAAGGAAGGGGTCCCATTTCTCGGGTTCTGGGCCGTTTCTCATGGTTTTTCCTTCTTTCGTGTACCACTCACCATCCCTAACTTAATTTGAAATGGGTTGCCTTTTTCAGCGTGAATTCGTCCTTTAAAGGAAGCAGTAACAATAATGAGGAAGCTCACGGGGTACTATGTGTGCTATATGAGGCAGTAGCTTGGCTGTCAAGGCGAGGTATAGCGCTTTCACGACGAAAGGTGGGCTGATTAGTGAGCACTTCTTGAGAAGGACTGTTTAGTTGCTGATTTTAGCGAGCTGCGTTGTCAGCAGCGGCACAACTGGAGTGATTCGACTGGAGCATGGTGCCACCAAACGCGTTGCGGAAACTCGTTCATACGTCCACTTTCTGAGCTGTTACCTGTTCATGAGTGAAAACCAACGGCCAAAAAAGGGGTCCCGTTTTGCGTTTTCTTGACGGATTTCTCCGCTTTTTCGCCACTGGCGTACCATTGAGCATCCCCAAGCTCCCTCTAAACCCCTCTAGAACGTAATGTCATCAAGAAATCTTCAATGTTGCTCCATTCTGCCATCAACTATAATATGATGATCGATTTAATTCACCCAATGTGATGTGACAAACTGCCCCATCCTCGGCCGACATGATGTTACCGAAGAGTCACTGTTATTAGGAGGCATCCCAAACAAAAACTCTCTACATCAAAGCGACTACGATAAGAAATTTTCGCATCGAAGGAGAACCTGCGCCACACGGAGCAATTACTTGGCTGCCAAGGAAGCGATGTGTGGCGCTTCCACGGCGAAAGGTGCTGTGGTTGCTGAGCAGGACCTCGCAAGCGCTCCGCCCCCAGCGATCCGCCCACTAGTTTACTTGTTGATTTGGACGAGCTGCGTGACCAGCAGCGGCGCAAATGGAGCATCTCGATTAAAGCGTACTTTGGCATGGTGCCATCAAATTCGTTGCGGTGAACTCGTTCGTCCTCTTTCTTAGCTGTTACCTGTTCATGAGTGAAACCAATGGCCAAAAAAGAGGGTCCCGTTTTGCGTTTTCTTGACGGATTTTTCTGCTTTTTTCGCTGCTGGGTACCATTGAGCACCACCACGTCACACTAACCCTTCTTGAATCTTATCGTAACCGCTTCCTTTAAAGGCAGCGATAAGCGCTGATTGATCCGCCTACAAAGGTCAAGCGAAGATCAAGGAAAACTGTGTGATCCACCCTCTTATCCCCTCTAGTACTGTGGGTTGCTATGTCCAACTCCATACCACGTGGACATATGTGACTGGTCTTGCAACGCATGCGTTGACGTTGCGAGTACCGATAAGAGATTCTCCTCGGCTGCATTGTCACTCTTCCAATGATCATAACTTCTTCCATGGCCAGAGTGAAAACAGCTTTGGAATTCACAAACATTCCAATTTCTGAAGAGTATGGTAGTGTAACGTAAGCTATCAATTCAAACGGTAAAGATTTATGGATTTGATGTTGAAATTCGCTTTCTTAAGTGGCGGATTCCTCCCTGCCATTGGGGCGCATGGCATCTGTCGACCTCGCTCAAGGAGGGGCCGTGCACATGAAATTCGGCGCGAGTCGTGGTCCTGCCCACTAAGATGATGCAACAAGGTGTTTCGGGTGACTGCAGATTTAGGGTTATGTTGCATCCTTTCAATGGCACCTTTAAGTGGATTGTTGTGAGGAGAAAAGTTACAGATAAAAGAAGTAAAACATCTTCATCATCCTTGGATTTTGACTGCTACGAGTTACATTGATTTTGTTGAATTTTCTCACGTGGCTCTTGCTCACGTCTTCAATAAATAAATAAATAAATAAATAAATTTATATTAAATCGTGTGGTTGTAGAGAGGTTATCTAGTTTATCTTGCTTATACAGTATGGGACGCTCCGCCAGAAGTGAGGCTGTGAGGGCTCATCGCCAACGATGCGCAGGCGATGATTCTTTACGGTCAATATCAACAAGACCCTGGAAGATGGAGTTTTTTGTTCCAGTGCCTGCGCAGCTCCACAACCTGTGGTCGTCATCTCCACAGGTTTTAAAGCTGGCTTTTCTTCAGTAATCTTCTACAAGGCATTTACCAGTAGAAACCGACTTTTTTCCTCACGGGAACCGAAATCTCTGAAACTCCAACTACGGGTAAAAAGGTCTGGAAATGACGACGTGGTGAACGACTCAGCTCCACGGCTAGGCGGATAAGGGGGAGCATGAGAGCATGCAAGAACATCAAGGTAATTGTTAAGAAAATAAAAAAAAATCCGGTTCCACGTCTCTTCGATGCAGTCATTCCTACCTTAGCGTACACCTAAGGCTCTGGCCTGCGTAGGCAGGACAGTCAGCGTTATACAACGCACTACACAAAGAATGAGTTCCGGAGGTACCCGATACAAGCAAATGCAGAAAAGAAGCTGGAATTTCAAACTACAGCAAGGGTCGAAGATTTCGGGCGCTGACGTTTTCGTCGAGTAGTAGTTGGACAAGAGCCGTTACCTGACCAGAATCTCTCAGGACTCAAATGAAAGCGAGAACGAGGCGTCAGGCTAGTCAAACTTCATCACGAAAGCTCTGAATTGAGGAAGTAATAAGCTTCGTAAGCTTCAAGCAGAAGGATTAGTTAGAGCCTTCTATTGGGTGACAGAATAATTGGAGAGGTGATCGACTCCTGCTCGTGGAACTCGATGATCAACGGGACGACAGGTGAACTATGTGGTATTAATGGTTATCATTTGTTTCGGAAAACCAGCAGCACGTCGAACGCAGATCGGACATCATAAGTGACGACGTCTCCACCAAATGTTTTTTTGCCGAAATGATTAGCCTGTTGCAGTTGTATTCTATCAGTTGTCACTAATTACAACTATCATTTACCAAACTATCAGCTATCACTATGAATCACTAGTTACCAGATTTACTTGGAGGCCGTCGTCACTTGTGGTGTGTGGTCTGCACTTGACGCGCTTCTGGTTTTCTGAAACAGCGGTCACTTGCGTGCTACAATATTGTGTTGAGACATTTTAGGTCAGTAGTTTCTCGATCTATGTAGGGATTAGGGATTAAGAAATGGAATATCAAGCAGGCAAAATCAAGAACTCCCGATATTTCTCATAGTCCGTTTTTCAGAAAGCTCGAAAAGCCGTCGATTCACTTCAATTCGGTATATGGAAAGAATCTGCAGACAGTTAACTCCTATAGTAAAATTTATGAGCTATTTTTCACGATGGGGACTTTTTGAGCTCAAGCGGCATTCTGACAGCAGACGTGCTTTGAAATTCGACAAACACGATTTGTGGCATTCATAAAGTAGAATCTTTGCCAGAAATCGAGATTTTTATTCGTTTGTTCATTTTTTTATTCACTTATTTATTTATAATTGTATTTATTTATTTTGTGTACACGCAGGTCGCTGATACATCCTTAATAAAAATTGGTCTGTGGTAACACATATAGGTGATTAAACGAAGCTAAATCGACCTTAGTGGACAGGTTGAGAGCCTCCTTTCATATGAAAAAGGAAACAAAGGTGTTCTATTGCAACTTGATCGGCAGAATTTGAACAGCCTGTGCAAACATTAATTGCGAATATTCAGTATTCACCGTTCAGCAGGCGGATAGCGCTACCAGATAGTTGGCAAAAATTTCAGCTTGGTTTGTCTTCATGGAGTGAATCACGCTTTGAAATGAAGAGACGGCTGACGATGTTAAGTTATCCCATGCAATAATATTTTGGAATTATTCTCAATTAAAATAGCTCTTTCAGTTTCAAGACGGAAGCTTCTTCAACGCCCACCGTGCTCATTTGTTCCTATGCCTGCCCGATGCTTTGAACCCATCTTTCAAATCATTGGGGCGTTCTGAGGCGTCCTCTGAATCTGGCACAATAGCTTCTTTAACTTTAAGTTCGCTGATTTCTGACAGAATGTGGAATCAAATATTTGGACGGTAGGGGTCAAGAAATG